ATATCGCCCTCCGGGAGGGCCGTTAGAGGCTTGCCAATCAAACAGTGAGCTGGTGTTAGAACGGACGTATCATTGGGGTCAGACGAAAGTGTGGTAATTGGCCTGGAATCCCCTCGACTTCGGCGACAAACGTATTTAATTCTTCGAATGTGAATAAGGAATCTCCTATCACGCGTCGAAAATGATGTTTAAATAATTTCACAGTGCTTTCCCACAGTCCACCGAAATGTGGTGCTGCCGGCGGAATAAAATGCCACACTATACGACGGTCGCTCGCGAATTTGTTTATCCGATCTTTGTGATTTTCGGAATTAAGCAAGGCGTATACTTCTTTTAATTGATTACTGGCGCCGACGAAGTTCGTGCCATTGTCGGAGTATATATGCTCCGGTAATCCTCGTCTCGCGGCGAAACGTCGCAGTGCGGCTAAAAATCCGTCGGTTGTCAGATCGGAAACGACTTCAAGATGTACGGCTTTAATAGCCATGCACACAAATATATAAACGTATACCTTAATCCGTGTCCTGTTACGGAATTTTCGTTCCTTAATATAAAATGGCCCGCAGAAATCGATGCCGGTATTGGAAAATGGAATTGCCTCGCTTACGCGTACTGCGGGGAGGTTTCCCATTTTGGGCTGGATGTTGTTAGAATCGAATCTAAAACACCGTACGCATGTGCGAACGACTTTGCGCACTTGATTTCTACCATCGAGTACCCAGAACCTCTGACGCATGGTAGCTAACGTGTGCTGAATACCTGCGTGATAATTTGATTCATGCGTTTCGCGAATGATGATGTCAGTTAGCGGGTTACGGTTTGGGAGGAGGATCGGATGCTTCTGAGCAAAAGATAGATTTGATCCCCGCAGACGGCCTCCGACTCTGATGATACCATTTTGGTCTAGAAACGGATTCAAACCGGCAATTCTATGTTTGATGACGCGACCTTTATTTTCAAGCTCCTTAATTTCCCTTTGAAATTGAGATGATTGCAATTTTTTCAAAATTTGTATCTCGGCTTCAGAGATCTCCTTGTTACATAACGCACCATTGTATTTGTTGGCGGGACGAAAACGGCGACAGTACGCGACAATTCTACACAATTTAGCGTAAGATGAAAATCTATATAAGATTTCTAGATTACCCGACGTCGTTGTTAAACAGGTGTTCTTTTTTAGTTCGGGAACTTCGCAACTTTGTATGATATCATTAGGCCATTGATTCTCATTGTCGATTAACCACGAAGGGCCTGCCCGCCACGTTTGATTTTGTAAGAAAACGAGAGGAAGTTGGCCTCTTGAGACCGCATCCGCGGGATTATCTTTTGTTCGGATATGTTTCCACTCTACTGTCTCAGTGAGGTCTCGAATCTCCGTGACTCGATTAGCTACGAACATCTTAAGTTTATGTGTTTCAGTCTTGAGCCAGTGCAACGCTATGGTCGAATCGCACCAAAAAATTACCCTGTTAGGAACGAAATTTAACGTATTGATTACTTCATGGTATAATCGTGCTAACAATAATGCTCCACAGAGCTCAAGACGTGGAATGGTCACGGGCTTTAACGGCGCAACTCGCGATTTAACGCACAATAAACGCGATAACACGGCGTCTTGGTTATTCTTTGAGCGTACGTAAATACAAACGCCATATCCGACCCTGCTAGCATCACAAAAGCCATGAATCTGTATATTAGAGTGATTTTCTATTAACAGCTTACGATCGAAGGAAATGTGGTCCATCAATTCCCACTGACGCGTAAACTCGGACCATTCATTGAGAATGATTCGCGGAACGGGCTCATCCCAGTGTATTCCGCACCGCCACACGTCTTGCATTAATCTCTTGGCGAATAGTACAACCGGGCCTAATAAGCCTATAGGATCAAAAATCTTCGCGATCTCCGATAACACTCTTCGCTTTGTCACCTGCTCGAAACTTTTAATTGGGTTAGTAGTGTAGGAAATTTGGTCGTCTCGCGTGTTCCATATTATGCCTAACGTTTTCAATGCCCGGTCTGTATTTAAAGTAAAACTCGCGTGTAGTGCATTAGCCTCTAAGTCGTTTATGATGCGTTCGTCATTGGATACCCACTGTCTAATAACGAAACCGCCGCGTGCCAATAACTCGGTCACTTCGACTCGAATCCTACGGGCCTCATCGATGGATTCAGCGCCGGTCAATAGGTCATCAACGTACAGATGAGATTTGAGGATCTCTGCCGCTCTAGGAAAAGTTTCTCGTTCATCATCAGCCAATTTTTTAATCACGCGGATTGCTAAAAATGGAGAGGAGGAAATACCGAATGTAAGAACGTTAAGTTGAAATGTTTTGACTACGCCGCCCTGGCGCCACAAGATCCGCTGATATCGCCGGTCGTCCTCGTGTAATATCACCTGGCGATACATTTTCTCGATGTCAGCAGAGATAACATACACGAAAGCGAATCAAGTGTAGGAATAATTTTGCTTGTATTGTAGGACCTGTCATTAATATGTCATTTAAGGACATACCGGTATTGGATTTCATTGACGCGTCGAACACTATCCGGACCTTAGTGGTATCGCTCTCTTCCTTCATTACCGCGTGGTGAGGCATGTAATAACCGCGATCGTCCGGATTGCGAATCAATGACATGTGTTCTAGCCGTAAGTATTCTTCGAAGATCCGCTCGTATTCGTTTCTTAGAACCGTGTTTATGCTCAGTTTGCGCTCCAGAGACAACAGACGTCTGAATGCCATCGATCTAGATTCGCCGAGAACCTTATTTGTTTTGCGAAAAGATAAACGAACTACGTATCGCCCGTCATGAAGGCGCGCAACGGTATTCGCGAAGTGTGCTTCACAGTCGGAATCTTCCTCCGATTTTATTTCGTTTCCTGTGATTTCGTCTATTGACCAAAATTTTATCAATTGACTGTCTAAATTCATCATGCAATATGTGCCTTCTGACGATAATTGTGGGGGTGTTCCGCCGGCTATTACCCATCCTAAGCGTGTATTTTGAAGATGCAAATCGTATCCTTCGCCAGATAAATCGATCCGACCGTCGGTCAGTAAAGACAAGGTCGCGCCCGAGCCTATTAACAAACCGACGGGCCGCGGTAAATAAAATTCGGGGTCCGCTAATTTAACGTTTCGCGGTAATTTTAGTGCGTCTCGTGGAAAGATTTCCGCTGGTACTAGATTAGCGATCATCGATATCGTTAAGCATGTTAAATCCTTGCGGAAATTTTTGCATAATGATTGTATAGTGATCCGCACCACGCCCCTTGAAATAGTGTTGACGGCATTGATTGCGCTAATCGTTGATGGTTTTTTAATTATTTGTGTATTCAACCGTCTCGCGACGGATTCTGATATAAAATTTGCCGTAGAGCACGTATCCAAGAGTGCTCGACATTTAATGCTGTTGTGATTATCGTGCTCAGGGCCGTGTATACGTATTAATGCGCTCGTCAAAAGTTGTGAATAAGGGCGTGGTGTGGTCGCGAGACTCGTCGCGCGGTGGTCGTGTAGTTCGTATAGTCATTTAAATTCGACTGTCGCGGGATTAGGAAGATTCGCATTGTCCGTTCGATTCTCGTCGTGTAAGAGGGTGTTGTGACGCTTCTGACATATCGTGCAAAGCGAAAATTTACACGGTGTCCCACGATGGGAACGTAAGCAATTATAGCACAATTTCGCCTTTCGCACCGTGTCAATACGATCCGCCACGCTTAATTGCTTGAATCCGTTACACATGTACAACGGATGTTTTTTGCCCTTACACACCGCGCAGTTATGCGAGGTTTTTGTTATAAAAACGCGATTTGGAATGTCGATTTTTCTCTTTTTGATCGGGGGTTCTCCCTTAGCTTTATTTGATTCTACCGATTTTGCTCGTTCTCGTCTCGATACGCACACCGCTGTTTTATACAGAAATTCGTACATTTCTTCTAGTTTAGGGAGAGTCTCTCGATTTAGCGTGATTTCCCACTTGTCTAATGTGGATCTCGGTAATTTACCCTCAATGAGATATATGATCATTTCCTACCGATTGCGACACCTAATGTGCTTAACGACGCGACATGCTGCTGAACGTCGTCGGCGAGCTTTGTTAGACCTTCCGTAGTCTCCCTATCTAACACCGGCAAGTTCACAATGCTTGAAATGTGACGCGTGACTAAAATCCGTTTGACCTCATAGGCGCGCTCTAATAGCTCACAAGCCTTCGCATAATTTTCGTTATCGATCGCGAATATTTTAATCTTGTTGCTGGCTTCACCTGTCAACGCGGATTTTAAATAATGCAACTTGTCGACGTCTGTTAGATCGGTACGCGAGCCTATCATGTCAAAGAACGCGTTTTTAAACGTCAACCAATTTTCGAACTTGCCGTCAAATGTCGGTAAAGGAGCCTCGGGCAATTTAACGCGTCTTTTAGTGGTTATCACGGCGTTCGCGTTTTTAACTGTCGATTCATCACTCGCTACGTTATCGATCTTGTTTGCTGTATCCGCCGCGTTCAACTTGTCCTCAACGCGACTCGCGAGTATGTAGAAACGATCTTGGATGTTTGCATATTCGGTCTGGTGTGCGTCGCTTGAGTCTAATACCGCAAGTTCATCGTTGAAATCCTCGAACGCGTGAAACTGATCCGACAACCGTTTAATGCGCAGTCTCAAAGCACTGTCTTCCGTGTCGCCTTTGTCGAGGAGATTAGCCAAATTCGTGATTTGTGATTTCAATGACGTCCGTTTTTGAACAATGAGTTTAATTCTGTCAGCCATATCACTGTGTTGTATAACGAATGAAATCGTTGACTTACGTTCGTGCGATTACACCGTCTGAATCGCTGTCGTTGGAACTGCACCCTGCCGAATCGCAAGATTTAGTCAGGCGTCTCGTGACTGGCTGTCGTCTGTGGGGTTCCGTGACCTCACAGGAGGCACCTCTTTAACTCAGTGGTAGAGCACTGGTTTCGTAAACCAGGGGTCGTGAGTTCATACCTCACAGGAGGCACCAAATGTTTTGTATGAATGAGTACATCATAAACGTTTGAATGTGTATTTATTCTTTC